AGTTAGTGTTTTCAGCTTGTTTATTTTCATATAAAAATACGGAATGCAGTTGCATCAAACAATGGTATAAACATCATTCAATGTAAATTGTGATAATCGTAATTAATAATCGCAATTACAATTTCAAGGGAATAATCGACAATTATGATTTTTGTCATAATCGTGCAGCCCTAATCAAATGTCAGTTGAATGATTGTATATAATTGTTATTTTTCTTTCTTTATTTACTTTTGTTTCTTTGTAAAAAATTATATTGTTAAAATATTGTAAATAGTTCTTTGGAGTATTTTAAATCTTATTATTACCGAGTTTAGCCATGAATATAGCCTTTAATGTTGATATGGCAAAAAAAAAATTTGATAGACAAATAAATTAGCAATTAGGAAACATTAAAAAATATATATTTCTCATGCTAACCATTTGCTCCTTTTTTGTGCTTGCATGTTGGTGTCTTAAGGGGATGAAAATGTCCTGTACGCATTTTCAGTGTTCTGCCGGGGCTTTCACTCACCTCAGAGACCACTTTAATCACAGCTACAGCTCTGACATGAGCAGCCAGGCACTCTCAATCAACATCAGCCTCATGCTGGTAAACACAATGTCTACCACACAAATGCTGCGTTTTAATTTCCAACTTCTTGCTTAGGAAAATACACTTGATTCGGGCAACCTCTATACCCTTTATATCTTTCTCTCTGAAGGCACAGGCTCAAGAGTGTCTCCTGGAGAAAACTTTACTAGACAACAGAAAGAGTCATTTAATAGCAAAGATTTGTGCTCAGGTAAGAAGTTCATAAGCTCGTCTATGAGGATAATCGTAGGTCTTTGATTTACAGAGCTCTTGTCACTCACTTGCCACTATCAACACTAATGTCAAGTCTGATTGCAGGTGTGTGATTATTATAAGAATTGTCTGAGGGTGTTGGATAATTCTGAATGTGTGCCAGGAAGGATTCAGAAAGAGTGGAGAAAGCTCATCGGCATGAAGATCAGCTACTTCAGTGCTATCACACATGTGAGACCTCTACACTGACCATGCAGTAAATATTAATACATTTTCATAAACTTGTTGGTTATTTTCATAAACCACACATCATTTTATTTTCATTAGTTACACATGGGAAAGCAGTCAGAGGAACAGCAGAAATATGGAGAAGCAGTAAGTATATGCTTGTGGGTGTTCATTTTGTAGTTATAATTTTTGATTTAACATTTGTTAAGTAATAGTTTTGTTTATGTTTCACTGTCTGAAATATGACTTTACAAAAACATTACTTGCTGTACCTTTTAAAAGAGGTCTTCAACGTCATCTCTGTAGAATATGAGAGTAATATCCTCTGATAACAGTGTGATGCCGCCTGTTGTTTCTCCACAGGTCGCTTACTTTCATTCCTCTCTGGACAAACTTAATGAGGCAATTAAGCAGAGCAAGGTAAAGATTCTCAAACGCACACGCACAGATACAACCCGATTGTTTATTAAGCACATTTACATATTTACTCATTGACCTTCTCAGGGCCAACTGGAATCTGTACAGGAAGCTTTGAAATTCACAATGGATGTGATTGGTGGAAAGTAAGACTTTGAATATATTATTATTATTATTATTATTCTATTATTGTTATGTGTTTTCATTTGGAGAATCTAATACCCACTTCACATTTGAGTCTTAAAAAGTGTTAAGGTTATGCTGTTGTGTGTAGACACTCAACAACAAGAATGCAAGAGACATGTGTTTGTGTGAGTGAGTGTGTGTGTGTAATTTTCACTGGACTTGTATTTATAATTTTCACTGGACTTTTTTCTGTTTCAGATATAACTCCGCTAAGAAAGAAAATGACTTCATTTACCATGAGTCTGTGCCTGGTCTGGACACGTTGGCTGCAGTAAAAGGTATACTAACAGCTCACAGATCTCTTTTAAAACTATAATAAATTATTATTATAATAAAATATAATACATTTAAAAATCATTTTGTTCATGTTTGCTTCCTTTGGTACTTATAACATCTGGCACGCAGGTGCATCATTGGTGAAACCCCTGCCTGTGAGCCTAACTGATCAAAGTGTCACTGGTCCTGACCTCTTCTCTAAACTCGTCCCCATGGCAACTCATGAGGCCTCATCCCTTTACAGGTCAGCTGGTGCATCAGTAACATGCTTTACTAATAAATGTTGTTTAAACATTTAAAAGTCTATGTAGAAAGTTTTGTAACCGTTATTTCTTTTTCTCTCTCGCTCTCTTAGTGAGGAGAAGGCGAAGTTACTTAGGGACATTGTGGCTAAAATAGAGGATAAAAACCAAATCCTTGAGTAAGTTACTCAAAAACAAATACTTACCTAAAAAAGGATGTTCTGTCATGGCTTACTCACCCTTAAAAAAAAAAAAGTAATCCAGGTTTCCAGGAATAATAAGCAAGTAATGTCAGAATTTCCTATTTTTGGTGAATTGACCTCTAAGCAAATCTACTCTGTGTATCTATAGGCTTGTGCAGTAGCTGAAATATTTTCCTCTTTTCTCTCATTTTCTGTGCAGGAAATTTATGGAGTCTCTAAGCAATGACTCTGTGTATAAAATAGACATATTTAAATGTCTGCCTGATGCTCTGTTGGAAAAATGTGCATTTCTCAGTGTACGACCAGACACTGTCAAAAACCTTGTTCAGGCCATGCAAGGTGAGAGTAGACCCACACACAAAATTAGGAAAACATTCAATTTGTGATAATGTGCAATCTGTCATTTTGCAGTACATTTCTTTTTTTAATCAGTCAGTTCAACATTAAAACAAAAATTCTATGATTGTAAACTGTTGTGTCTATGATAATTCTGAACAAATACCCAACAAATGCCTATTATAATATCTACTATCATTGTTTGATTTTTTTTTATGGATTTGATGACATCCAATTATGTGTGTGTTGCAGCACTATCTAATGTTTACACTGATGTGGGTTCATCTCTGGACGAGGCCCGTAGTGCCCTTGAGGAAGATGAGGCTGGGGAGAAGAGTTTGATGGAGGTAATGGGGCAGAAGGGATTGCCGACGAGGCCTGCAGTCTTTCAGGATATTCAAAAAGAGCTGAAGAAATATGAGGCTGCTCATCAGGCAGCCAGCAACACCAACACTGAGCTCCACAAAGCCATGAACCAGCACATACCAAACATACGTCTGTTACAGGGATCTGTTGAGGAACTCAGAAAGAGCCTGCCCCAGCCAGAACTCAGTCAAGGTAAAAGTTTCTTACCTTATGCACTTGTGTATGCATTTAGAAGGAGGAAAGATATATAGAAGTAATCTGTTGTGAGTTCATTCAAAAGTTGTTAAAGATTCTTTCCTTTCCTCTAAGATGAAATGTCGTCCCTGCAAAAAATGAAGACAATTCTTGGCAAAGTTGATGAAATGCGAAAGCAGAGGATTTCATTGGAGAGCCAGCTTCGTGACCTTATTCATAAAGATGACATCACTGGAGTCCTTGTAACCACAGATCGTGCTGAGATCAAGGTTAATGAACTACTGAAATTGCTCAAAATGAAACAAAACAAAACAGCAGATCAAAACAGCAGATCAACACAAAGAGATAAAGAATAAGCAGAACAAATGACCAGTCAACAATTTAAAATCTCTACGTTATATCTCTTTCCTTCTCTATTCTCTTTCAGACATTGTTTGCGGAGCAGTTGAAGAAATATGATCAGCTGAAGGTATATATAGATCAGAACTTGGTTGCCCAAGATAACATCCTGAAAGCCTTAACAGAAGCCAATGTGCAGTACGCCCCTGTCCGCAAGACACTCACGCTCACAGAGCAACAGTATGTGTTTGTGTATTTTCAAATCTCAGTCAAAAGACTCGGATTTCAAATGTTAGTATCTGTTTCTGTGGCATTGTATGTAATCCTCTCATTTTGTCATGAAGATGGAACAGCACTGTGCAGGCCCTGATTGCCTCATTTGAGGCATATGAGGACTTGTTGAAGAAGGCTGAGGAGGGCAGAGACTTTTACCAGGATCTGGACAAGAAGACCTCCGCTTTGTTGGACAAAACAAAGTCCTATTGCCAAACCAGAGAGGGGGAGCGAGTTGCCCTGCTGGAAAAGTAAGTTGTCTCAGGTGGAAGGATATGATATTTTGGGTGGATTTTGTATGTGATGATATGACTTGCAGTAGACAAGATTCAGATTTTAGTAAATCATCATTGTAGGTAGCCTCTATTTAGATTGAGTCTGCAACCTACGTATCGGCTCAAATCATTAATTAGTAGACTATTACCACTCAATACTAAAGATATTCCATGTCAAATTCCTTCCATTTGTCTCACTACATGCTTGTCTGACATACTATCTGCAGGGAGATTGGAAAAGGGCCACCTCCTAGACCTGCCGCCCGAAAGCCTGTGGTCGGCCAGAAAGTTGTTGGTCATATGTCCGGCCCTTCCAGTCTTGAATCTGTAGGTCCTTCTGTTGCTTCTTTTGAAGATCTTCCACAAGAACTACGAAGCCTCCCTCCAAATCTGAATTCGCCCCGAGGTTCAGTACTTTCCAATCCTGTTCCTCATGGTGGAACCCCTGTTAGCTGGCCACAAGGGGCAAGCCCTTTTCCGCCAACTCCGTTTCCAAACCCGCAGTTTCCCACTACAGATCCAAAACTCAGGCAACAGTTGGCCCACCATCTCCCACTGGCAACTTATGGCCAGCCCTCTGCACCCCTGCAAATCCCTGGGCCACCAACACAGCAGTTCCAGGTAAGACCAGCTGGAGGCATCACACCTGTCCATCCTCAGGTTAATCAATCAACCTCCCCACAGGTGCCTGCTCAAGGGTACAATCCAGCTCTCTGGCAGCAAGCTCACGGTGGTCCAATTGCTGTTACAGGGGGTTATTCTGTGCCTCCACAAATGGGACAAATTCCCCAAAATTTAATTAGGCCTGGTTTACCAGGACAACCGCAAGTATCCTTGCCAAACTCTTTTGGGCAGCAGATGCCAACTGGCATGCCTCAGTCTTCCTCTGTCCAGCAGATCATACAGGGAGCACCGTGCCAAAGATTTACAACCCAGCCTAGACAAAGCATCCCCTCAACCACACCAAGAAGTGCATTTCCTGGGCAAATCCTTCCGCCCTTTCCACCTGGGCAAGTCCAGCCTCCAATGCCAGGCCAAGCACAGCAACAGTCTGGCCTTCCCTCAGGTTACCGACCAGCATTACTTCCACATACCCAACCCCAGCTTGGTCCACCAGGCCAACTGACAGTGCCCCATCCTCAGGGTGCCCTCATTCCAGGGCAAGCTCAGCCTCAGTCCACTCTTTCCAATCAGTTCCACCCCGGACAACTTCCACAAAACAGGCCTCAGCCTTACATGGGTTATGCTGCCACATCTTTTCCGTCTTCCCAACCGCAACAAATTCCTGCGCCCCACCAAGTACATCCAGGGTCCCAAGTTTTTCCACATGCACCCTTGAGCCAAAATTCCCAAGTTCCTTTTGGTCCTTGTCAGCCCCAAATGCAACCAGGAGCTGTACCACCACAAAGCAGTGTGTATTCATTTGCACCAACACACATGGGCCAACAACCTACGGGCCAACAGATCATTCCATCTCAATTCAACACCATGTTTAATGGACCCGGGGGACAACCCATGTACATTTCTGGTCAAAGCCAAATACTTGGCCCTCAAAATGTGGCTCACTCATCATCTGGACAAGCAGTTGCCCCAGTGATGGACAATCCAGTTCCACCTTCACTTGGCAGCACCCTAATACCGACTCCATCTCCTGTTCAGGTTTCATCCCAGAACCAGATCTCCACTCCTAGACCTGATCTGCCGTCCTCTTCTTTAGTGAGTCAGAATTTAGAGCCACAAACCACATCAAGTGCTGTGTTGACTGACAAGATAAGTTCTGACTCCACTATGAGTCTGGATTCTATTCAGAACAAGGTGGATAATCTCAGCATTTAGTCCCAAACCGATTCCCATACAAACAAATGTGAATATGCAGTCAATGGTAGTCAGGATACCATGTAGACCACAATTAAAAATGACAAGTCAACAGGGGGTGCCAAAAAAAGATGATCTTGGTGATTTGGATCCTTTATGGCCACAACACAGGATCTGATGCCTGAACACACGCTAATACTTGCTTTTTCTACATGGCCAGTACTAACACAAAATTGCACTGTACTCTCTGTACCTGTAATTACACACTATGACTTAGCAAATGTACTACAAGCAAATAGAAAAATGCTTTTGCATTGTAATTCTATGCAGTCCTCTAATATTGTGTACAGTTTCACTCTATGTATTTCTATTCTTAAATAGCACTTTAGTTTGCACTGTAGTGAGAATGATGACAACAGTGATGATGATGATGAGTAAGAGGTGATTATGGTTTTTTATGTTAGGATGTCTTTTCCACTGTTTCAAAAACATTTTGATACAAAATGCTCTTCTAGTTCTTACATATAATTTTCTAAAGTATAAATAAAGTTTTATTTTAGCTCTGTATACATAACATAACATTTTAATAATAAAAAAGGGACAACTGTGTTTTGACCGAAGACTAGCAGCACTGTCTGATGTGGAGATGTTGCTTCCGTTTAAAATTCTAAATTAAAGTAGTTGAAACTTCAAATGTGTTTACACGTCTACCTTTATGGAAAATTGTTATCAACTCCACGCACCTGGGGCCTCATTTATAAAATGTCCATACACACAGATTTGATCTTAGTGTGTGCATACACTAAAATCCACGGCAACGTTCGTATTTATAAAAACGGTCTTTACGTGGAAAAGTACTTACCCCCACGTCAGGGTCTGAGCAGACGTACGCATTTTTCCTTGTGGCAAAGTCGGAGTACTGCAGCTATTTGAACATCTAAGCTGCAATAATAAAAACGGTGTACGTGCAAGCACCGAATTCATCATAAACAACAAAGATGCAGTGTAGTCAGATTTTTTTATTAACGTGAGTTTTTGCGAGATTAAATTGACCTTTTTAGTAGCCTAATGTAGAGAGTTCTTTTCTCGCTTTCTGTACACAGTTTATTCCATATTGTTTTTTTTAATTTATTTTATTTTACAAGAGAACTTGCGAAGTCTTGATAATTCGTAGTTTATTCTTACTTTTGGAAACCTACACCACCTACTCCTACTACTCCTACTTTTGATAATAGTCAATAGAAGAAAAAAAATTTAACCACACACACATTGTTTGTCCACAGAATAATAACACATTATTAAATAAAAAGCGTCCCCGCACGAACCTCTACCTCCGCCTGCAGGACCTCAATTTCAGACTCAGTAAAGTTTTTTATTTTTTCTTTGTGCTCGTCATTCTCAAGAATAGAAATTCTGATATTGGCGTGTGATCTTTTATATGGTAATGCTATTAATTAGGGGGCGTTTACAAGGCGGAGATCTGACACCAGTCATCTGCGCACAATTTCAAGATCATTTGTGATTTATAAATGTCACATCTGGAGGAGCGGCGTACGCACGTGTTTTTGTGCGCACGTTCATTTTCTGTGAATCGTACTTATGCACTTTTGAGAAATGATCTTGGAACAAATTTAGGACGGTTTATACGCAACATTTTATAAATGAGGCCCCAGGTCTTGTAACGCTTGGTAAAACTGTATAGGGAACATCTGTGAACAATCTTCAGGTCTCTCCCCATTGCAGTGGCATTCAAGCCAGTACTTTGGGTTTGTTCCCCATGTCACACCAGTGTTGTTTTTAGGGTCCTTCTTGTGAAAGGTGAATTTTCAGTAGTCCTGCGGCTCTGTCCTCTAGAGCAGATTCCTCCTGCAAGTTTTGTGGTATGTATTCCTATTAATACAGCATACAAAATATAACCAATGTAACAGATTATAGAGTATCATACAATAAACATGCTGTTGTGTGCTAATGTACCATTGTTAAATGCACCACTTCCCTAATATGGCCATATGATGGCAGTGTCTGGTTGTGTTCCGATGTAGGATTGTCTATTATGAGCGTGTTGTTATGTGTCCCTTTTTCTGCATGGGTTACTGGAGCTGTCTAGAATTAAATCAATGCGCTTCATTTGCTTCAGGCACAAAAAAAAACAGAATTACTACACGTACGTCCTGCAGTAAATGTCTGTAAATAAAACAGGGATGCTCATATTTAGTCAGGTCTTTTGGAGAGACTATTTAAGTCTATTACACATTTTTTTCCTCTCTCAAACTGTATTCATAAACGGGTCATAGAGAGGATGATTAGGATAGGTCACAAAGTGCACACTGTGCGTAATGGGTAGTCACTGGAATCTAGTATTGAACACAGTATTGATGTATCTTGTTGCATGTAAACATGAAAATGGCAAACACAATACATGCACAATGTGTGTTTGTTGCTAGTCAGAAATCTTTTTGTATTAGTAGTGAACTCAAGAGCCCTTTACTCTTCCGAGACAGTCTTTTATTTAAGCAGTCTGTGCACGCCAGCACTTGCTTTTGACTTACTTTGATGGAGTGAACGCTGGGAGAGCAACTGACCCAGTTTTTCTTCGTAAAATGGGTTTGGCTTGAGCAGAATAACACTCTGCATTGAAGCGTTTTGTAGAGGACTTGCTTACAGAACATGGTATTAGTTTAGATTATCAATCAGTCGTCACATGCACACTGCACGTGCAAGACAACGCTGCACTTTTTGACAAATGTATTGTTGTACTGTTTTTTTTTTTTTACAAGAAGTTGTTCCCAGAATTTTTTTTCTCTCTCCAAAAATTATTTCTCACCCCAAAACCTTTTCTCACTCCAATTTTTTTCTCTCCCAAATACTTTTTTTCTCTCTGCATAGAATTTTGCCATCAAAAAAGATGGCTAGCTAACAATTAAGCATGCCACAGATGCCGCAATAATTAAGCATGAAATCTTATGCTTACACTGCTTCCTCTGTTGATTTATTCTTGAATAATACATTTACAAGAAATCATGAGACAAACACACACACACACACATATATATATATATGGGGATGTTCTTTGGAAGAGAAAAAAGCTTTTTGTGAGAGAAAAGTTTTTCAGGAGAGAAAAACTGTAGAGAGAAAAAATATAGAGAGAAAACATTCTCTGGACTAGGCTCAGGAAAGATCCAAGTGACATTTCCCATTTTTTCCACCTTGATTTTCTTTTTTCTTCTTCCCACATTTGGGTTCAGGGCTTCCCTAGAAATTAGCAACCTCAACTTAATTTTTTTTATTTTCATTTCAAAAAATGATGACCACATTTTTGTCCAAGGAACCAACAATAAACAATGTCAGATCTAAACAATTCTAAAATTCTTTATTCTCAGTGAAAGTATTAATCTAACATTAAAAACACACAAAAAGCACCTTGTTAATAATAATAGTTATCAAGTTGTTTGTTTGCCCTGAATGTTTACAGGTTCCATCATTTTTGTGAATGCATGTGTATGAATATGAATGTGCTGTTTGACAAAATGCAACATAAAACATGGCACCATAACACATATGACATCCATGTTTGTCTGTAACACCAAATTAACAGTTTCTTGACTTATTTTCCCTTTATACTCCTGTTGCACAACAATGCTAATTCATCTCACCATTTATCATCTACCTTTATTGTGCTGCTCAGTGATTTTGTTTCGGTAAAGTCCAATGCTTTTAAACTGCATCCCAATCCATGTCTTGTTCATCCACAAGACTTTCACTCATTACCAATCAGTGTCTCTTAAATTTCTCACGGTGAAGTCTCATGTAGGATAAATTTGCCATTTGTTTTGTTGTACATCACTCATGTTAAGGTGTGTAGGCCGTGCCCAGGTGAGGGCTGGATGAGCCGGACAGGACTCCCGGTAGGGAACGTGTGCTAATGGGGCTGTAGCTGGGTTCGGAGCTGCGTCTGGGGCAGAGCTGGGACAGAGGCCTCCCCTGTACAGATCTGCCAGGAGGCCGGCGCAGCACAGGGGACTTTTTAGGGGATTTGGGGAGCTTGTAGAGAAAGACGTTGTAGTGCAGTGGGGGGCTTGTCTCGGGGAGCATTTTCGCCTCTTTGGGGAGAAGCAACTCTAAGTCGATGGTCACACCACCCTGGACACACACACACACACACATACAAAGGCACAGTGCACAAGCATAACAACACAAACAGGAATAAAAAAAAAAAGCACATACAGTACAACACAGATTGACAAACCCATTCATAAAGAAAAGGCAAGAAAGTATAAAGAATTTAAATTGGGTGCATATATTATGGAAACAGTTTTTTAAATGAATACTCTTATGAATAGAAAGTTCAAAAGAACAGCATTTATCTGAAATAAGTTTTGTGTAACAAATGTACAATTCTGTCACATCTGATCAATTCAATGCATCCCTGCTGAATAGTAGTAATTTTTCAAAAAATAAAAAGAATAAATTACAGACCCCAAGTTTTTGAACGGTATTAAATATGATCTAAATATAAAACTAATTTTGTAAAAATGTAAACAATTGTAAAAAATATTTTTAAAAATAATTTTGGAAAGAGGAAAATTGTTACTTATGAACAGTGACATGTTCTACATTTAGTTATGATATAGAGCTTTGCATTAATGTATTGTTTGTTATCATGGGACAATATTTGGCCGAGATACAACTATTTGAAAATCTGGAATCTGAGGGTGCAAAAAAATCTAAATATTGAGAAAATTGCCTTTAAATTTGTCTAAATGAAGTTCTTAACAATGCATATTACTAATCAAAAATTAAGTTTTGATATATTTAC